CTAGCAGATTCACCAGCGCCAACACCCCCAGCAGCTCCAGCTCCAGCAGCTCCAGCAGATCCAGCAGCACCAACCCTAGTAGGACCGGTAGCTCTAGTATCGCCAGCACCTCCAGTAGTACCTCCAGCAGGACCAACTCCAGCAGCCCCAGCAGCACCCCCAGTCCCTGCAGCTCCAGAATCGCCAGTATGAGTACCACCAGGACCAGCAGCAACAGTAGTACCTCCAGCTCCCAAAGCACGGCTCCAGCGTCGGGCAAACCACTCGCGTAGCTCCTGTGGAGAGAGTGGCTCCCGCCTCGACGAAGCACCGCCAGAGGCCACACGAGCAGACCCAGCACCCCCAGGCTCCGCACCCCCAGGCTCAGCACCCCCAGGCTCAGCACCCCGAGACTCAGCACCTACAAGCCTAGCACCCCCCAGACTCAGCACCCCCAGGCTCCGCACCCACAGGCTCAGCACCTCCAGACCCGGCACCCGCGGGCTCAGCACCTCTAGCAGCACCAGCGTCAACAGCTACCTCGACAGGCTCGTCTGCGTCTACCTGGGACACACCTGACGGGGCAAGACCCTGAGGGGGGAGGGGGTCTACCGGGGGAGGACCTGGCGCAAGGAAGAGCGGCGACGGGGGGAGGGGCGCAGTGCGGTAGGGGAAGAGACGGTAGTAAGGCACCGACTCATCGATGGTGACGTCCTGGGAGGACAGAACACGGCGCGAGGTGGGGTGGTAAAACTGCCAACCAGGCGCATCAGGGGGGAAGCCAAGGAAGACGCAGGGAACAGCACGGGGGGACAGCTTGTCCGCAGACAAGTCGCGGACAAACGCCCGAGATCCCCAGACTCGAAACGCAGACGCATCGCCAACCTTCCCCGTCCACTGCAAGGTGGGGGAGGTCTCTGGCAAGGAGACCCGGGGCTGAAGGTTGAGCTGATGTGCTGCGTACTGAACCGCAAACGGCCACAGAAAATGGGGGGCAGCCGCATGGATCATGGACGTACGAGCGACGTCCATGACCATGCCAATGCGGCGCTCAGCAATCCCATTTTGCTGTGGAGAGGCCGAAAGCGTGAAGGTCTGGCGGATGCCCTGTGCACGACAGAAGGCTCCCAGACGGGCAGAGGAAAACTCCCCGCCTCTATCAGAGTGCAGATGCAGAACAGGAAAGTCCGAGCCGAAACTCTCTCTGAGCTGGAGACGAGCTGCGCGGATTCAGTCAATCAACACCTCAGTGACGTCACCCTTGCTGCGCAAGGGGAAGACCGTGGTGTAACGCGAGTAGTCGTCAACCACCAACAGGAAGTAACGCTCGTGACCCTGGCCACGGACGCGGGCGGGGCCCCACACGTCCATGTGAAGAGTCTGCAGCGGAGCCTCTATAGGAGAAAACTCGGAGGAGTGAGGGGCGGCGCGCTGTCGCCCCTCGACACAGGGGACACAGGAAGTGGCAAGCCCCGGAGGTAGGGGAGGGAGAGACCGGGGGAGACCAGAGACAAGGACACGGGAGGCTATGCCTCGGAGACGAGGCAGGGAGGGGTGACCAAGGCGGTGGTGCCAAAGGAGAGTCTGGTGACACAGGAGACGACACGAGCAGGGAGCAGACTCAGGACCAGACCTGGACGCTGCAGCAAACACCTGACTCGACGGAGCTACCTGACCAGACTCAGCAACCGGAGGAGACTCAGTAGTCAGTGTATACAGGCTCGACCCCGGACGACGGGTAAACGTTGGCAAGTGTTGGCCCGTCCGCGCACACGTACAGTGGGTCACTCGCTGACTCGCAGGAGTGAACTGGTCAACCCCCCGATCCTGTAGATTAGCACCACTCACCAAGTTCGTAGAGAACGAGGGGAGGTAGACACCTGACAGGGTGCCAGAGGGGGCTGCCGAACAGGGTAAGACAGTGGAGAAGTGAGCAAGGACAGGACCCCCAGAGGGGTCCGTCAGGGAGACAGCAACCGGCCGACTGAGCGGCGTAAGCGTGGTGCGGTCTCGAAAGAAGGAGCGGGAAGCACTCGAGTCAAGAGTGAAGGTGTGTAAGGCCTGAGACGACGTGGTACTTGAGAGAGCTGACTCACCAGCACCTGGGGCAGCAGACGCACCAACACCTAGAGCAGCAGCCTCACCAGCACCTAGAGCAGCAGCCTCAATGCCCGGGTCAGGCGGAACACACAGGTAACAGTCACCCTCATCACTAGTAGGCAATGCATACATGGCAGTGAGGATAGCACCATAGTCAAGAGTATAGATATCTACCCTCAGCCGAAGCAGCTCCACCCAGTCGGGGATCTCAGCCGCGTCGCCAAACTCCGTACGCTAGGCGTCACTCAGACGGGCGAAGCAGCGGGACTCTGCGTGACCAAACGTCCCGCAAGGCTGACCAGTCCGAGCACTAGTGCTAATGACGTACGGACAGCGAGCAATACCCCGTGACCCGTCACGCTGAGCGTACCACTCACGAAGCTGCTGGGGCGAAAGGACCGTTCGCGGACGACGCTGAAGCTGCACCTGGCCACTACAAGCAGCTGCCGAACTACTCACTCCAGGACGACTCCCACTACGGCCACCCGGACAACCCCAACTAGCGTACCACGTACGAAGCTGTTGGGGGGTGAGGGACTCACCCGAGCGACGCTGGAGCTGCATCTGGCCACGCCAGGAGCAGCAGGAGCAGTAAGAGCAACAGTAACAGCAGGACGAGCAGGGCAGTGCTCACCAGTGGCGAGAAGGGCAGGCGTACGACGGTGGCAACGGCGAGGCCGCTACCAGTGTAGAGCGAGAGCTCCGCGGCAGCTGCAGGGGTGGCTGCTCCAGGGGCGGTAGTTGTAGGGGCGGCTGCTGTAGGGGCGGCTGCTCCAGGGGCGGCTATTGCAGTGGCGGCTGCTCCGGGGGCGGTTGCTGCAGTGGCGGTTGCTCAAGGGGCGACTGCTGCAGTGGCGGCTGCTCCAAGGGCGGCTGCTGCAGTGGCGGCTGCTCCAGGGGCGGCTGCTGCAGTGGCGGCTGCTCCAGGGGCGGCTGCCCAGTGGCGACTGCTCCGGGGGCGGTTTGCTGCAGTGGCGGCTGCTCTAGGGGCGACTGCTGCAGTGGCGGCTGCTCCAGGGGCGGCTGCTGCAGTGGCGGCTGCTCCAGGGGCGGCTGCGGCAAGTGGCGGCTGCTCCAGGGGCGGCTGCTGCAGTGGCGGCTGCTCCAGGGGCGACTCGGCTGCTGGGCGACTCGGCAGCTCAGCTGCTGGGCGGCTCGGCGACTCGGCTGCTTGCTAGGGGCGGCGACGGGGCCGGATAGGGGCGGCGACGGGGCCGCTAGGGGCGGGGAGCGGCGACGGGGGCCGCTAGGGGCGGCGACGCGGCCACGTAGGGGCGGCTACAAGGCCGCGTAGGGGCGGCGACGGGGCCGCGTAGGGAGGGAGGCGGCGATGAGGCCGCTAGGGGCGGCGACGGGGCTGCGTAGGGGCGGCTACGAGGCCGCGTAGGGGCGGCGACGGGGCCGCGTAGGGAGGGGAGCGGCGACGGGGCCGCTAGGGGCGGCGACGGGGCCGCTAGGGGCGGCGACGGGGCCGCGTACGGGCGGCGACAGGGCCGCGTAGGGGCGGCGACGGGGCCGCGTAGGGAGGGGAGCGGCGACGGGGCCGCTAGGGGCGGCAACGGGGCCGCTAGGGGCGGCGACGGGGCCGCGAAGTTCTCTGCCGTCGCGTTCCTCCGCACGCGCACCGCAGAGCCTACAGTCGACACGCAGTTGGTGCGCACGTACGTTACGTTGCCGGGCGCCCCGCCGATGTCGGCCTGCACGATCTTCCCCCACGCCACGCGGGGACAGTGACAGCTGCTTCTCCGTTTTCACCTCGCCCACCACATGCACCGTCACGGACTTGTCGCGGCACCGCTTCGTGTTGTTCACGCAGCTCACCTTGTAACACGCGCCGTTGCGCTTGTGGAAGGCGGCGGGAGGAAGCTTCACGGTAAGAACCTTGCCAAAGAAGGGGTTGGCGGAGTAGTTGCCATAGTAAGAGCACGTGGTATCCTTCCCCTAGCTCATGCCGTTGCTCCGCCTCGCGCTCGTCAACGTGAGGCTCACGCCGGCAGACCCGACACGGTTTGGGTGAGTCGCGTTTGCGCCCGCAGTCTTGTTTGCGGCCGGAGTCTTGTTTGCGGCCGCAGTTTTGTTTGCAGCCGCAGTTGCATTTGCTGCGGGAGTGGCAGCGGCGGCGGAGAGGAGCACCGGGGAGGCGAGGCAGACGAAGAGAAACGAGGCCTTCACGGCCGCCGGGATGAAACGAGCCAATTTTATTTTCCTGGGAGTTTCACGAGAAGCTGAAACGGGCTTACAGGTAATTGCGCTATCTACTACTATTTGTGAGTCAAGGACAGTAAGAGGACGATTCGAAGTGCTGATGAGAATAGTGAGACCCGTCGTTCTTTCTATACTTCACTTGTGCATAAATGAGAGGGTGCGTAGGATCCCGAAATCCCTGTGGAGCCGCTGTCTGAAAGGCCGCCGTGAGTTGCGGGGAGATACGAGGTGCAGGTGGTTTGCTTGCTTGTGTGGGAGTCTGCGGGGCGAAATCTACCGACTTGGCGAGTTGGATTCGTATAATGGTAGCAGAAAGGGGTAAACTCTGTGCTCCTCACTCTGCCTATCACGTAACCTGCGATGTGAATTTTTTTCGTCGATTCGCGCGACCCAATATTGTACAATTATCCACTCGCGCCGTGAAATCTTGCTTTCGAGCATTTGACAAAACCACTGCAGCTTGGTCAGTGGCGTGTAGAATGAGCAGCTTCCCACTAGTGATACAGTACTTGTTCCAGCTCCTTTTCGCCGAGGGTGGCATGTACACTGTGTTTAGGACTTGTACTCCATGTATGAATCGAAAAAGCAATCCTGTGGACATGGATTTGCAATGCTCATAGCAATAGTACCAACCCTCCCTCCCACTCCTGCTATGAGCTTCATCTCATCTCAACTCCAGTGTCCCTTGTTCCTCAGAATAAAACCACTATGCAGGCCTACAACCATACAACGTTAGAGATCATTTTAGTCGTGATGCTTCTGCCTTTTGCAGTCACAGCCAGAGACTGGGGCATGTCGTCGTAACTTTTGGTGGCAACCACCTCTGCATCCTCACTCGCAGACGTCCGCTGCACCTCCACCACATACGGGCGCGACCCGTCCATCAGCCCAAAAAGCTCAAATTTGAATGTGATACTGTAGTCATCGCCATCCTGGTTGACTATGTAGATAGAGATGAAGTTCTTATCGGGGTTGAAGAACGACGCAACGCAGTGGTGACAGCCATTGGTCGTCTCGATTCTCAGCGGCATGCTCCCTTTCGGCGACGCCCGAGCCATCTGCTTCATCATGTGAAACTTTTTCGAGAATGTAATTTCCACCGGCACAATTGCAGGATCGGACACATTGTTGTGCGTTATTGTAAACAGCCCCCACTTGGCAGAGTTGGGGTTATTCGGGAGGTATGGGTTGATCGCCTGCCAGTAAATCCATGCTGAGGCGCCCATGATGTTGATTGCTTGGATCGCAAATCGCATCATGAACAACCCCACATCGGTGTCCTCCCCTCCCGCCCACATCGGCCCAATCTCCGACACCCACACCTCCTTCCCCACACTGATCCCCATCCACGCTAATCCAACGTACAGCTTCTCTATGAACTCCCTGGTATCCGTGGTGGTGGGTGGTGGCGGGACATATCCATGCACCAAAATCCTTTTCAGACCGGATAGTAACTGCCCGGAAAATAGATTCGCGTTTCGCATCGTGAACCCGACGAAGCTGTCGAACCCCGCGACGCGCGTTGAAAGCTTCTTCCGTTGCAGCGCACCCGCCACGGCTGTGCAAAGCCTATCCAGCTCAGCAGCAATGTAACTGCAACCCTCGTGCCGCCCCCCCTGCGACCACCACCCCTCCAGGGGCTCATTCACCGGATTCATCGTGCTGAACGTCACGCTCCACATGTGGCGAAAATGGGCCGCTAAAGTGGCTAGATACTCCACAAACGCGCCGTACATATCCGGTCGGAGATTCGATTTGCCGCCCACATTCCCCGACGTATCCCCACTGATGGTCATCCACCAAGGGGCTGAATAAGCGATTGACTCCACCTCATCTACACCTCTCTGCATCGCTCCTTTCAAAACCTTCCGCTGTTGCCAGTCTGCCGCCCAGACGTACGGGGCGGCCTTGCTCGGCTTGTAGCCGGGGAGGTTGGCCTGGTGCATGGTGTCTTTGGTGAGCTGCGGGCTGTTGGTGGCGTTGAAGCTGGCGCCCAGCAGATAGCGCGCGAGGTTGAAACCCGATTCCCGTGGACAGCGAGAAGAGCAGGTCCAGCAGCGTGGTGAGCTGATTGGCAGGCAGCTTGCCAATGTAGTTGGCGAACCTGGCGTGAAGAAGGGGGGCAGGGTGAGGTTGGGGAGGTGGGGAAGATAGGGGACGGGGGAAGGGGTAAGAATGGGGGAGGAGGGGAAGGGAGAGATTGTGTGGGTGGGAGAGGAGAGGGGGCGCGGAGGGTGGGTGGGAAGGCACGCATCAAGCGACGAACAAGGCCCTGGGAGGGCGCAACGGGCAGGTCAAGGAGGAGGTAAGGAAGTAGGGAGGGGGAGAGGAGCGGGAAAGAGGGGAGCGGTGTGGGAAGGGGGTAAGGCCGCAAGGAGCAAGGGCCGAGTTTGTGGCGTTGGAGAGGGTGAGCAGTTGAGATGGACGGGAGGCAGCTGGCCTGAATAACTGGTGAACGAGGGGTCTGAAGGGACGAGAGAGGAAGAAGGGCAGCGAAGAGGGTTGAAAGTGGCGCCTATTCTATCTCTGCCATGCGACCCGTTGCACTCTCAATCGCACACTGACACTCCCATGCACTCAAATTCCCATGCACTAACAGCCCCATGCACTAACAACCCCATGCACTAACAACCCCATGCTCTCATGCCGCCAGCAAAAGCGTGGCACCAATGTTTGTAAATATTGCTCTCTGCCACTCACCACGCCAACGACGTGCCCCAGCCTCTCCACGTCTACCCACTGAGATCCGGACTGATGGTGATGCTGGCTGGGCTTGGCAGACGGAGAGGGGGGGGAAGGGGGAAGGGGAGGGGAGGGGAGAGAGAGTGGAGGGAAGGTGTATTCAGATTAGCAGATGATTTCACGGCTGATAGTGTTGCTGCCGGGCATGGAGGGGCACAGAAGCGAGAGAGGGGGAAGGGAGGGGCAGCGGGGGAGGGAGGGGGGAGTAAGGTAAGGGCACAGATTCGCCCGGAACGGGATGGTGATGTAGGAAAGAGGGGGAATGGGAAGTGAGGGAAGAGGGCAGCAGAGGTGGATTGGTGATCATTCCACATGCCACTGCACACTTGCTGCCACACCACATTTCTCGTATCACACCTGCTGTCACTCATTCCATGGTGAGGGATCGCAAATTAGCGTCTTGATGCAGTGGGAGTGTGCATCGCACTGCCATATCCTTCTCAACCCATCTCAACCCATATCAGCTCAACACCCTCCCATCACCCCACATCACCGCCCATCACCCCCCATCATCGTCCATCACCGGCAGTCACCATGCAAGCCCTACCAGCGGAGCGACACACGGTGATCACTTCATTCGGCAGGGTGAGGGTTGACGCCGCCGCCGGCTCAGCTCTTCCCGGCCCCTTTGGTCCTCCTGCGCCCCCCGTTTCCCCCGCGCCTCCTGCGCCTTCCGCACTGTCCGCCGCTCCATCCACCGGCGCCCACACGGTGCTGGCGCCCACCTTGTTCCGCGCCACATCCAGCAGATCGCGCGGCGTCGCTGTCTCAGGTGGCGGTGGCGCACTCGACTCGTCCCCGCCGCCACCACCGTTGTCTGCGGGAGTTTCGTGTGCGGAGTGCAGCGAGAGGTGGTTGAAGCAGGCGAGGTCAAGGAGGGCGGGCGGAAGGAGCTGCGGCAGCACCGACTGCAGCGCGCACGAGTCCAGCTCTACCTCGCGCGGCGGCGGCGGCGCTGGCGGCGGCGGAGGCGGAGAAGGGTCATCGAGGAAAGCACTCGTCGCGACGCTTGCGGCGGCGCTCGGTTGCTGCTGTGCGACGAGCAGGCGATGCGGGGGGTGCGTCGCGTGCGAATGTTCTAGGTGCGACAAGTCGCCCGAGTCGCCGCTGAGATTGTGTAAGTTGTGAAGGTCGAGAGACGGGTGTAGCAGCATCGAGGTGCCATTAAGGAAGACGGACGAGCCTTGGGGTGATGATGACGATGCCGGCAGGTGAAGGGGGGAAAGAGAGGATGGTATGGACGACGCGGGGGTGGCGAGGGCGGCGGAGGCGACGGAGGAGCGGTTGCGGTCGGCAGTGGGCGGCGTGAGAGAGGTCGACGGCGGATAACTAGGAGAGGAGCAGCAAGCACGCGGATACCGCAGAGAGGTGCGTGGCTGGGGCGATGGGGAACCGCGCATGTGAGTCGCGCCGATGTGACTGGCGTGGCGGAAGGGAGTGAAGGGGAAAGATGTGAGACGGAGCCATGTGCGCAGCGCTCACTGTCGTCTGTCCCCGCTGTCAAATCGTCGAGGCAACGATTGAAAACGCACGTTTACAACTGTAAGGTTACTGATCACCGTGGGTCGCAGCGCGTTCGCCTAATTAAAAGCCAACATGCGTCGAAGAGCACCACTGTATGCCGACGTTTAAAATGTCAGTGATCACCGTGGGTCATGCCGTGCGTTCGCCGTCCATTGCGCATTTGACGATTGCCTACTAATTTGAAGGCGACAATTGCGTCCTGTCTCAACCTCTAGTTATAGAGTTTCACAACTCGCGGAATTATCGTCGTCAGAAGCGCGCGGCTCAACTTCTAGGGAATGTTATCATCAGCGCAAGACGCGGGGAGGCTCTGCACGATGCCGCCAGCTCAGGATGAGCTGAAGCACGACCGCGCCATCGCTGGCTGAACTCATGTCGGCACACGTGGCGCAATCGGTGTAATACCTTATCCTCCGACGCGACACTAACAACGGCCAAAGGACAGGTGAAGCGGATAATGCAAATTACAGATTCGCGAGCACGTGAACTGGACTGATGCGATAGGGGAACAATCTGTTGTGAATGGCATGCTCTTCACGTGCCACGCTACTGTACCACTCCAACCCCTTCCCCTCAAAACACCCTCGACACATTTTCCTAAGAACCCATCAAAACCACCTACAAAGCCTATTTCAACCACCTCTTTAAATACTCCCAACCACCATAGCCATTCCTAATCCAACTCATCTAAGACTTCAACCAAAATTCCTATTCACCTCCAAGCCCCACCATAAGGCACATTCCATGTGCTTTCCCTTCCTACTCATCAAATATTACCCAAGTCATCTACTTCTTCCAATTAGTCTCCTCCCATGTGCCTCCAAGCACATGCCTCCATTTCCTATGTCATCAACATCCACATGCCTCTAATTCATTCTCCCTTCCTTCCTTTCCCAAGTCATCGAAGTCACCAACTCATCTTTCAAGGATTCATGATTACCACATCACCTCCTCTTCCAAGACACCAAGTTTTCCTATCCTCTCCATTCATTCCTTCACAAGTCACCCAAGTTCTCTTCAACACTGCAAGGCCTACATTTCCAACTCAACAAGTGCTCAACCACCACCTCATGCTCTACTACTAGTCAACTCCAACAAGCATCTCTACAATTTCTCAAGAAGGTTCTTCAATGACAACAATGCCTCTCAAGCTTCTTCATCAAGCTCCTCTCCAAGCTCATTCCAAGCTTCTCCTTCAAGCTCCTCTTCAACTAAAAAGGCTCCTCACTAGCAACCAAGTTTCTATGTCTCCAAAGTTGATACTCTCATGCTACTCTCTTCCAAGGCTACCATTGATGGTTACTTTCTCTATGCATGCCCATGTATCCTTCATGGATCTATAAGGCTTGTACTATACTCTCTTTAATATACGTTTATACTCATAAGGCTCTCTCTCTCACATAGTCTACAAAGTAGTTATCAGTGAAGAGTAGTCTACCTCATACTCCTTAAGAGTATAAGGAAGCTACAAGCTCAAGGGAGGATCATCATCCAGCCCAAGGCTTGAAGTCACTCCCAAGTAAACCATACAAGTTCAAGTTCTTCTTTCAAGTTTCATCTACAGCTATCCCTAGTAAGATTCACTCAAGTAAGTGTTTATCACCGATCTTATTCTCTCAACGAGCTCACACTCTTCTTCTCTTCTAAGTTCTTATCTCGTCAAGCATTTCATCTTACACAAGTTTCTCTTTATAGTCACGAGTTCTAAGCATCATCTTCTCTTCCATCAAGCTCATCTACATATGCTACAGTTCCACTGTTCACTCTTGTCTTATTCTAGTGTGCAATCATACTCTTTTGTCTTTATCGCAATTCTCTACACAATCTTGTCCGTGCCGTGATAGAATCAACCCTCTGGTCTGGGCTTGACCCGCGTCGCGTCTTCCCCTCAACTTGGCTCGGCCAAAAGGCAGTGATTGCAATTGGCGGCTGAGCCGCCAAGTGGCGACATCGTTCATGAATCGCGACGTGATTGGCTCCGCCCCGCACAGATTAGGATTGGAAACTAGCGGACATTTCTGAGGTGAGGTTCATTCCCACCCACCACGCTTCTGTACTGTAAGTGCCGCTACAAAAACTGTAATATGGAAGTTTAAATCAGGCTCTTATGAGTACAATATAGGGAACGTACGAAGATTGCACTATCAAAGCAAAACAGTACATTGAGCGAAGGCAATGAGCAATTGCTAAATTGCGAACTAGTGTGGTGATGGTAACGAGCGAAGTGTGGGGTGTGCGACGAACCTGGCGCTGGGGCTGGGAATTATCGAGGCGGATGACCGGAGCGCGAGTTACCAATTGAACTGCGAGGTGGGGTCGCGATGTGAACAATGGCGGGAACAGTGGTCGGGGCGAGTGTCGCAAGGTGGTGTTGCGATCAGAAGTTTATCGCTCTCAGGATCACCTCGGGAAGGTTCGCACACTTCTAGTCTAGTGGTGGTGGGCCCTGACCTCAATTACAGAGTAAATGTAAATGCTTATGATGATAAAATTGTGAAGACTTGAGGAATGAAGAGGAGGGGTTGCACTAGCAGCAGTTGGCATACATATAGGAAACCCTAATTGGGTTGTACTCGCTATGGAGTACCCCACTGCAGGCTAGACATTATAACATTCTGACACACCCCCATAGCCAAAGTGGGGTGTAATCAGCACAATGAGCAAGCAGGCATAGAGAAGGAGTTCACTATAGTGAGCAAAGCTAGAGTTAATCATAGCGGGCAAGTGAGGAGGAGGAGGAACTGTGGAGGGAGAGAAGATGGGAGGCAACGACTGAAGCTGCAAAGGCACGGGCACAGGAGCGGCTGACTCAGTGGCTACCGAGGTAAGGGCGACGGACTACTGGAGTAAATGGCTCCGCGGCTAGAGACGAGCGGCACGAGCAACGGACCCACTGGCGACTGGTGCAACAGGCTCACTGGCTACCGAAGCAAGGGTGACGGACTACAGGCGCTGCAGACAACACGACAGCTACCTTCACACAACCTCCTCCAGCTGCCCCACACCCTCGACACACACCCCCTGCTCAAACCCTAGTTCCACTCCCACAGCACCCCCCTTTCACACACCCCTTGCTGCACCCTAGGTTCACTCACACCCCACCCCCTAGCACCCCTCCATCGACTCCCACACACCCACCCCCCTCAGCGGCAGCTGCAGTAGTGGGAGACCGAGGAGGAGGAGGAGCAGGGGAGACCACACACCCGCCACCCCCTACTCGCCCCCCCCAAACCCTAAAACAGGGCAAGGCGGGATGGCGGGTAGGGAGGTTACGGGGGGGGGGGGGGGGGGAGGGGGGGGGGTTTGACGCGCGGCCTACGAGGGCGCCAAAACAGGCGGCAGAAGGGGCGGGGTGGAAAGGGCAGCAAGGTCAGGGAAGAGGTACGGTAGCATGAGGCGGCTCAGTGCAGCAGTGGCAGGGGAGGAGTAGCGCGCAACTACAGCGTCGTAAAAGGGCTAAAGTGCGCACGCTCAGAGGTAGGCAGGTGGCGATGCACAGCAAGACGTGCAGTAGCATCGCGTGTGGCCCACTGTGAGCGAACAGTGGCGTCGGCATCAGCAGCAGGGGCAGGAGAGGCACCAGAAGTGAGGACAAAGAGGGAGAGACCGTCTGCCCTATCACACTGTAGGAAAAGCTGCAGGTCATCTACCCAGACGTCAAAGTCAATGGCCCGACCCTCAGCGTAAAAAGCGAGGGCACTAGGGGTAGCCATGACAGCAGTAGACTATGAGAAGAAACGAGAATGAACTATGAATGAACTGAGTACAAGTACTAACCCTAATTGGGTTGTACCCCTTATGGGCTACCCTACTATAGCCTACACAATAAGCACAAGCTATATGTTCTGACACACCCCCATAGGCAAAGTGGGGGAGAACAAGGGGTCACAAGACCAGTCAGCAGCAAAGCAAAGCAAAGCAAGCTCAAGGTGGATCACGAAGTCACCACACATTCTGAGCACCAGTTCAAAGCCACAAGGCCAGTTCACATGCAGGAGTACATATATATATAGGACTAGACAAGCAAGAGCAGGTGTATATATATGCAACAGTACAAGCAAGGTCAAGAGGTGAGCAAGTGAGGCAAGACAGGCACAAGACCCAGCTGCGTGCAAAAGCGCTGATGATCACAAGGCACAAGTGCCTTGGTGAAGACATCAGCAGTGTTGGCCTCAGAGGCCACGTACGCAAGCCGCAACTGACCACGCCGCTGTAGCTCACGAGCAAGGAAGTAGCGAAGAGCAATATGCTTTGTTCGGTGCTCCAATCTCTGCTCTCGACACAAGGCCAGCATGGCCTTGTTGTCTACGTACAGAACTGGAGGAGAACGAGGCGACTCTCCAAGGTCGGTCAGCACGTAGGTGAGCCAGCCAAGCTCCTGTGCAGCCATGGCGCCGGCGTAGATCTCAGCCTCACAACTGGAGCCGAGAATAGAAGACGAGCGAGTAGCCTGCCACGAAACAGAGCCGGAACCAAGGCTGAAGGTGTAACCCTGTGACGACCGCTGCGTAGCGTGGTTGTTAGCCCAAGAAGCGTCCGCGTGCCTAGTGAGGACCACTGGACTCCGCCCTCCAAGCACTAGCCCCATGCCCGACGTACTGCACAAGTAGCGCAACACCCTCTGCACGCC